TATGAATTCAACAAAAACGACACTAAAACAAAAAATATTGCTCGATTCAAGATTGTCATGAGCTTTTGCAAATGTCCAAATGTACAAGTATAGTACTGGTAACAACTACTAACTACGTTGCAATTTTGGTTCAGAATCGACTCGCCAATGCCGCTAACATCGTACCTGTCCCCGCTGCAAATCGTCTGTGTTGTCGAAGAATGCGGCTTGGCAATCCCGCTCCGCGCGCTGTGTCATCGGGAAGCATGCGTCGGCACGGCTCGCTCGAGAAGAAGGCCAGTACTTCAACAGGGTTTGAGCTTGCAACGTGCTCGTCCCACTGGCACATGGAGGAGCACTCCAGCATCGTTGGCAGCTTGAAGCGCACCACCTCCCTCGACTACCAACAACAACTCATCCAGTGCGGAAGTTTTGAACTTTTTGCCACGAGTCTGCCGGGTACACTGGTGGATGGCGCCAGGAACGACTGTCTCGATGCCTCATCAGCGAATAAAATTCACCAATCAAATACAAGCGAGCTGCTTTGTCCAATCAGATTCACGTCCGTCTTCGATTGACCAATCAGAAGCGAGATCAACCCCACCAATCAAACCGAGATTGACAGGTGCAACAACTTTTCCAACACCAGCGCGCACGCCCGATGGTTCGGCGGCAGCAATGGCGCGGACCGTTGTCTGACATGGCTTCTTTGTAGGGTAAGAAGAGCAAGTCGTTTATTAACAAGAAAGAAGCACAGCACTTTCATGTCGTGCACCGCAGTCAGCGCGATCCGTTGATCAACGACCCCGAAGCGTCCAAGTTTGTTTTGCTCTCGTCCAAGCCGCTGCCGTCGGGCCGCAACGAGTTGGACGCGTATGACTCGGACGACAGCGACCTCCCGGACCTTGTGCCCCAAGTGGCTGCTCCGTCCGGCAAGGTTGGTGCACACCCAGGCATGGCCACGATCTTATGCGGCGATTCGTGCAGACGGTTCGATTTGGCAATGTCGTCGCCCGCGACCTGGTCAACGAGCTCGGGATGGTGAATGATGGCTATGATTACTCCAAGCACATGAAAGAGATGGGTACGTGTCGAGTTGTTGCGTCGATTGCAAGTCAAGGCTAAGTTCTGTGTAGGACAAGGTCACTTTTACTCGGCCGGTGGGACGTATGACGAGGGGTATGTGTAGTTGCGTGCTCGTCTGCATCTAGTGGGTCGACACGCTCATGGAGAGCATGGTTCTTGCACGAGTAGAGCTGGCCTGCTCAACAAGCGCGTGGTCCTCCCCGACGAGGTCATGGCGAGTGCAAACGAACACGATCGAATGCTGGACGCCATCACGTTGACGGAAGGTCAGCGCACAGCACATTCAAACCAGGTTTGTCTGATGTCTCGGTCATGTAGACGTCATGGACGAAGACTTGCGAGAAGCGTTGGTGAACGACGAGGCTTTCGAAGAGCTCACGGACGATTTCATGCTCCAAGCTGCGCAGGAATTGCCCGATGACGCGGATGGTGCCGACGTCGCAGCAGGTAAACCCGCCAAGTGCTTGCTCCTGGCTAATCTGGTCCATGCTATGATTCTCGGTCATGCAGATGGGTTCGATTACGACGCACATATTGCCAAGTTGATGGCGGCGGCTGAGGGCATACCCAAGTACCGCGGTCATATCTCGGATGACGAAGACGACGACGAAGATGATGACGAAGAAGGCTGCGAGTACACCGACGAGGAGCATGAGGACGATGGCCAGGACAAGGACGACGCGCAGCGCGCACTGGACGACGCATTTGAGAAGCTCATGGCCGAAGAATATGACGATGAGCAAGTGGGAGAGCTTGAAGAAGATGAAACCCGCGGCAAATTGGTGCTGGAAGGCGACTTGCTCGACCAAATCGTCGACGACTACGTGAACATCCGGCAGGAATTGATGGCGGACGAAGGTCGGCTGGGCAACCCGCTGCGATCTGGCAATCGCCTCAAGGAGATCCTGGCGGAATGCGCTGTCGAGTTGGCCGACTCGGACGACGTCGTGATGAAACCAACTGACCCCGTCCCGGCCGTGGAACAACCCGCCGACTTGTCCGACTTGTCCAGCAACCCGTACTTGGTGCAGCGCATCGACGACCAAGTAGGCTGGTGCTCTGCACGTTGCTCGACACCAACCTTTCACTTGTTTGGATCGTAGTGGGACTGCGAAACCATCGTCAGCACGTACTCCAACCTAGACAACCACCCGACTGTGATCCGGGAGCCGTCCAAAGCTCCCAAGAAGAAGACGAAAGCTCAGAAAATTGCCGAAAGCTCGACGATCGTGCTGTCATCCAAGACAGGCATGCCACTCAACATAGTGCCGCTCGGGGCCACAGCCATCATCCCTGAAGAGGTAGGCATATTCGCCGCAACTTGCGGCGACTTTGACAAGTTCGCTCAGGTATCGGACGACGGCTCGGACGACGAGTCGACCCGACGAAAGGCGCTCCAGCTGAGTCGCAGCAAGGGCAAGACCAAGGAAGAGAAGAAATTGCGCAAGGCGCTGGCAAAGAACCACAAGAAGGTGCGATTTGGAAGGAACAACATGCAGCAACGAATGTCTCATTGAGTGTAGGAGCGACGGGAAGAAAAGAAGGAAGTCAAGTTGCTCTACAAGGACGAGAAATTGCGGCAAACGCAGACGGCGGGCCCGAACCTGTCGGTGTTTCGGTATTAGGTCCATCCCACTTCAACTCTTGCCGCCGTCCATCACTCGTACACTACTTAATAAAGCCGTCCACAGCAGCACATTTGGTAGAGAACGTCTCTAGTGGATGAGCGCAATCGATGACCCTGCACGACCTTCCGCCACAACATGCGCTGAAAGAGGAACCTGCCTTCGTCGCCTTGCGTTGGGCAAAGCATGGAAAGTTCAAGCAGGCAGACATATATATAGAAGACAATATTCATTCCGTCGCAACTCAATTCGTCTTGGGTTCGAGCAGCGTGTTCCCCATGGTGCTTTCGCGCTTGATTTGCTTGCGCACGATGTTGGACAGCATGAGAGCCGTCGGGCGGTCCTCTGGGTTTGTCGCCACGCACTGC